ATCTTAAATGATGCTATCGTGCCCGCCTCTACCACCTCTGCTGGCAACGCGTTCCAGGCACCCACCACCCTCTGTGTAAAGAACTTTACATGCATATCTCCCTTAAACTTTTTCCCTCTCACCTTGAAATGATGACCCCTAGTAATTGAGTCCCCCACTCTGGGGAAAAAGCTTGTTGCTATCCACCCTGTCTATATCTCTCATGATTTTGTAGGCCCCAATCAGGTCCCCCCTCAACCTCTGTCTTTCTAATGTAAATAATCCTATTCTACTCAACCTCTCTTCATAGCTAACGCCCTCCATACCAGGCAACATCCTGGTGAACCTCCTCTGCACCCTCTCCAAAGCATCCACATCCTTTTGGTAATGTGGCGACGAGAACTGTACGCAGTATTCCAAATGTGGTCGAACCAAAGTCCTATACAACTGTAACATGACCTGCCAACTCTTGTACTCAATACCCAGTCTGATGAATGAAAGCATGCCGTATGCCGTCTTGACCACTCTATCGACCTGCATTGCCACCTTCAGGATACAATGGACCTGAACACCCAGATCTCTCTGTACATCAATTTTCCCCAGGGCTTTTCCATTTACCGTATAGTTTGCTCTTGAATTGGATCTTCCAAAATGCATCACCTCGCATTTGCCTGGATTGAACTCCACCTGCCATTTCTCTGCCCAACTCTCCAATCTATCTATATTCTGCCGCATTCTCCAACAGTCCCCTTCACTATCTGCTACTCCACCAATCTTAGTGTCATCTGCAAACTTGCTAATCAGACCATCAATACCTTCCTCCAGATCACTTGTGTATATCACAAACAACAGTGGTCCCAACACAGATCCCTGTGGAACACCACTGGTCACAGTTCTCCATTTTGATAAAGTCCCTTCCACTGCAACTCTGTCTCCTGTTGCCCAGCCAGTTCTCTATTTATCTAACTAGTACACCCTGGACCCCATGCGACTTCACTTTCTCCAACAGCCAACCATGGGGAACCTTATCAAATGCCGTACTGAAGTCCATGTATATAACATCCACAGCCCTTCCCTCATCTATCGACTTTGTCACTTCCTCAAAGAATTCTATGAAGTTGGTAAGACATGACCTTCCCTGCACAAAACCATGCTGCCTATCACTAATAAGCCCATTTTCTTCCAAATGTAAATAGATCCTATCCCTCAGTAGCTTCCCCACCACTGACGTCAGGCTCACCGGCCTATAATTACCTGGATTATCCTTGCTACCCTTCTTAAACAAGGGGACAACATTAGCAATTCTCCAGACCTCCAGGACCTCACTCATGCTCAAGGATGCTGCAAAGATAAGACTGAATATGAAAGCCTTTAGTTTGTAAACAAACCACGAAGGTAGACTGTACCATAAATAAAATGATAACTGAACACGTGTTGCTAGAGCTCCAGGTTTTCAATGTGTCTTCATCCTGTCCATGCAAACAAGATAGTTGAACACCGTTCTATAGATGAGCTGTGTAAATTTGGATATCTGCAAAACTATTATTAGGAATTTCTGAAGACCAAGCACTCACTTGGCAATGGTCCAGCAATTTTAAGTGCTGGGCTTGGCTTGGCTTTTGTTAAAACCAGTCAGAGACGGCCTATGCAGTCAGTCCTCGTACATAATGTGTGTTTATGGATTTCTGCTATAATGCCAGTCGGAGTGTGATCCTTCTGCCTGCTGTTTTAATGTACCACAAAGAAGGCAATGGCAGGTTGTTTGTTCTGAGCTGAATTCTGTATTTGTATTGAACAGAAACTAATGCCAGGGACGTTTACCACTATTGATTTTGGTTGACCCAGCTACAGGGTTAAAATCTTTAGATTGCTTCAGAGGCAGTGCAAACTGATAGAAGTGCACCTCCAGGTGGCCCGTTGATGAAGTTGCATGAAGACGAGATGTGTGGTCCTTTTCTCACTATCTCCTAGGTCAAGGTGTGCGAAGCATTCTACTCTAGAAATTTACCCTGACCTGAAACTAATTGGCCATTGTTTTAAGATACGGCATGGTGTTGGTGGCAAGTTGAAGTGACCCTGCTAGTTTCTGGTGAAACTGAAAAGCGCAATACATTTTATGAGGTCTGACAAATATATTTTTAATTTTTCGAATTTTTCTGACATTGTTTTTGTGATCTGGCAGTTTTTTTAAAAGCTGCTAATATTACACGTTCTATGACAAAATCAAATGTATTTTTAAAATTGTGAAATACCTTTGACAAAACCTGCTTTTATTGTGGGATTTATAAGGAGTTATTGGGGAAGCAGATTTTACAGAATAACTAATGGAAGTCCTTCTATGCATGCTGTCTTTGAACTTCTTAAGTTTTGACTGGTCACATGTCAGGCAACAAATCCCCACTGGAAAACCTGTTCTTAACTGGAGCCGTTCAGAATTGGGACTAATCTCTCTCTTTATTAAAGCCCAGCTGCATTAAGACTAGTCACACGTTGACTTTGACTTTGTAGCAAATTTAATCGTGCCCTGAAACTAATGCATTTGGAGAGAAAAAGAGATTATTGAGAATTTGAGATTCTGGGTTGTGCCTATCTTTTGGCCATCATGAAGTGATAAATATTTGAAAGTTGTTTTCAAACCTACCTGTGAATCATTAATGGCCTCTACACAGCATTAAAATGTTTGTCATTGATTTTGAAAGCATTCACATGCTTGACGTTGTTTGAAGCCTTCCAATGATATTTAAGAGGAATAGATAATGAGCATAATGTGAATTGAATTCTGACAATTTATGCTGTTAATGAGCTTGGAGAACTGTTGGTCAATGCAGTAGGCCATTTGTCTTCTTTTGAGAGTGACTCTTGTGAAAGAAGATTAAATTTCGAATTTCTTCCCTGTTGCCATTGAAGTCAAAACGGTTGCAGCCAACCATCCACCTTGTTTAGAACTTGTTTTGTTTCATTGCCTGCCTATGCATACAAACTTGGATAAAAGAAAAAGAAAGCTTGTATTTATGTAAGGACCTTCAATGAATTCAGGCTACCCACTAAGTGGTTTTCAGTCAAATAAATAATTTTGAATTGTCATGATTGTATTGTAGGAAAAGGTTTTGAGATGTGTATATACATCTCAGGATGAATGGAAAATATGCAATCTAATCCACAAAAACTCAACCTAGAGCTAACATCTGTGAAGAACTTGTTTGAATCCTTTAATTGCAAACCATTCCTCTGTTGCTCATATGAGATAGGGCTTCTAAGTCAGCATCAATATTTGCAAGCATTTAGACCTCGTTATCTAACTTGATTTATGCCAGCTTGCCCCAGCAAAGCCTTATATGCCACAAGCTCTGTGTCACTGATGAGTTCACTTATGTGATTTGCCCCCATGGTTGATGTGAACCAAAGTCTGTTGAAAGCCACTGGTGCTATTGGAAGGCTCTGATGTTATATGATAAAAGGAATTTATTGTCAAAAGTTTGTTTTTTAAAAATATGGCATCCCTACCTTCTATGCAATCATTGGATTATTTATAATCACAAAACTCCAGTCACTTGAATGTAGATTACTTCAAAGGTCATGAAATTTTGGCTCATTGAATCTTTACCAATAAGAACCTCACAAAAATGCTAGATGTAGAGACAGTAATAACAGACAAATCTAACACGGTTGGTATAACGGAGATAGTAGGAACTGCAGGTGCTGGAGAATCTGAGATAACACGCTGTAGAGCTGGATGAACACAGCAGGCCAAGCAGCATCAGAGGAGCAGGAAAGCTGACATTTCGGGTCGAGACCCTTCTTCAGAAAAAGTTGGTGACTGGTCTGAAAGTCTGATGTTACTTAGGAAGATATTCTACAGTGAGCTGAGACATGCAAATACTCTTGTCAACTTAGATATAAAGTTTTTAAACAACCTTTACAAGATTTGGCATCTGGGCTGATGCTGTTGCAGAAAAGAAGTGACCAAAGATGGTTCATAATGCCCCAACAAACTTTGAAGCAAGTCATGTCCATCTAGTTGAAGAACCAAGAGCCCAAAGAAAGTTAAGAAATAAAATTGATCTCATTGCCACTCTTGACAATCATTCAGGTCTGCTGAATATTTCCAACAATTTCTGTTTTCACCTTAATTTTGTTCCCTTATTCTTTACAGGGTCTAGTTTTTTTTCTGCTTTTGGACAACAGCCTTTTGTTCTGTGCTTTGCACTTCATCTAGGTTGTTTTTTGTGTCCTTTTTCTCCCCACTGATCTATTGTGGAATTTGTCATTTATCTCTCGGTTTCTTCTCTAGTCTTGTCTGTTCTATTGCACAACTAGTCCCACATTCAACTCTGTGCAAATTTGGGATAATCCAAAATTCTGCCCACATCCTAACTCAAACTAAACCCCAATCACCTGTCACCCCTGTGCACACTGCTGTCTGAGATAACTGTGATTAGCAAATTCTGGTCTCTTGAGCATTCACATGTCTTCAGTTATCTGGCCTTATGTTCTACAGTTTTTTCACTCCATCTTTTTGCTTCTGTGCCCCACATTTCCTCCTATAAGACCATATAACACCTATCTCTTTGACTAGACTTTTGGGTCAAATGGCATAATGTTCCATCATATTTTTGTGCTAGAATGTTATTCTGAAGCAGCTTGGGATGTTGAAGATACTGGGAGATAAAAACGACGGCAAATCCACTAGTTTAACTTAGGCAGTATGGAGGGGCCTATTTACCCTGAACAGATTAATGATTTTGGTGCTAGTCAGACTAGTCTAAGGATTGGGTTGAGTTTCACAAGCTTGGAAGAATCTTCAAGCAAATGTTGATTCTTCTCAAATTAAAACTGGGATAATAAAATATAGCAGCATCCAACTCAAGAAGCAGAGGAAAATCGTCATTGCCAATCTTTGCTAGAGAATCTAAATGTTTTCCCTTCAAAAGCATTTGCACTTCTATTTCTCCTTTCATTTCCACCAGGAGTAAAGTATGCTCCGCATTTATGTTGACGAGTACTTCTCTGAACTCTTTCAGAATCCAAACTTAAATTTTAAAGAAGTGACTTATGAACTGGATCACCCAGGATTCATCCTTCGTGACAGCAAAGGTCTACAAATAGCGGTCTATGGCATCCAGAAGGGGATGGGAATTGAAGTCTTTCCTGTCGATCTCATCTACAGGCCTTGGAAGCATGCAGAAGGACAGGTACATTCACACTGTGGAGGAAATTCAATGATGGTTTTTTAATACATTGTCAGCACTTACGCTTTTGCTTGATTCTCAGTTGATGGTGAGCTGTGCAATCCAATGTCACGTGAAGCTCTTTTCTTTTTAAACAAATGTGAGCAAGGGAGCAATTTCTCTTACAACAGCACATTTTTATTACAAAGGGAGGGAAGGTTGGGGGGGCGTTGGGGTGACTGTCATTTTTGTTACATAAATGTGATGCTAGGTTGTAGTCACTAGTAATCCTGAAGTCCAAACTAATGTTTTGAGAAGCGTGGGTTACAACCCTGCCGCGAGAACTGTTGGAAGTGAGATTCAATTAATAAATTTAGAAATGAAAGTTAGTTCCACTAATGGTGACGATGAACCTACTGTTGATTTGTAATAAAAACCCAGCTGGTTCACTAATGCCCTTTAGGGAAGAAAACCTGCCGTCCTTACCCACTCTGGCCAGCATGTGACTCTAGACCCACAGCAATATGGCTGACTCTGAAATGGTCACCTCAGTCAAGGGCAATTAGGGATGAGAAACAGATGCTCCCCTTGCCAGTGGTGTCTGCTGAAAGAATAAAAAAAGCTACAGGCTTTTGTATTTATTCGCATTACCTCCTTGGCATTATCGCTTGTCTTTTTTCTAACTCCTCCGGCACTCCGAGTTACTTCCCCTGATCCCTTCTAGCACTTTAACAAGGCAGCAGCAGGGGCAGCACGGTGACTCAGTGGTTAGCACTGCTGCCTCACAGTGCCAGGAACCTGGGTTCGATTCCACCCTCTAGCAATTGTCTGTGCGGAATTTGCACGTTCTCCCCATGTCTGCGTGGGTTTCCTCCCACAGTCCAAAAAGATGTGCAGGTTAGGTGGATTGGCCATGCTAAAATGCCCGTGGTGTTCAGGGATGTGTAGATTAGGTGGGTTATAGGGGGATGGGTCTAGATGGGTTATAGGGGGATGTGTCCTGGGTGGGTATGCTGTGAGGGTCGGTGTGATTTGTTGGGCCGAAGGACTTGTTCCACACTGTAGGGATTCTGTGAAAGTTTAGTTCTTGCTCAGACTTCTGTTTTGTTTCATAGGTGTTTCATTTGAATTGTAAGAGTAATCTAAGGAGACTGAAACCAGCAGGAGTGCCCAGCATTACATAGCAAGTTTAATATAGAGTATGCAGTGCACAGAGGCAATATTTTAGGATCTCTAGTTTTAAACTTGCCATAAGTGCAGACTTTTCTTCCCCCTCTGTATCTACCTTGCATCAGATCATTTCATTGTAAGACTAAAAGGCATAGGCAGAATGGCCCACTTCGGCAGTCAAGCTTGCGCTGCTGTTCAATGAGATCATGATTGATCTGATAATCCTCAACTCCATTTCTGCCTTATCCACACAACCTTTGATTCCCCTACTCATTTTAACAAAAATGTCTCTCTTGGCTTTGAATATAATTAACAACCCAGCATCTGCGCTAAAGAATTCCATAGATTCACTGCCCTCCGAGAGGAGAAACTCTTCCTTTTATCTGTCCTTAGTGGGAAGCCCTTACGCTGAAATTTTGCCAGCTGGTCTGGCGCTAGGTCTCGCACAAGTGGAGATAACCTTTCAGGCTTTCTTGTACAGTAGAATCATCAAATAGGTACAACATTTTAGGAAGTCTTCAGCTCAATGTCTATAGATAACAGTGTGGAGCTGGAGGAACGCAAGCCGGGCAGCATCAGAGGAGCAGGAAAGCTGTCGTTTTAGGTAGGGACACTTCTTCAGAAAGGCCTTCTGAAGAAGGGTCCCAACCCAAAACGTCAGCTTTCCTGCTCCTCTGATGCTGCCTGGCCTACTGTGTTCATCCAGCTCTGCACTGTGTTGTCGCTGACTCCAGCATCAGCGGTTCTTACTATCTGTCTGCTTAATGTCTATGGTAGTTATTTCACAAAACAATCCAATTAGTTACACTCCTGTGCTTTTTCCCTTTAGACTCTGCACCCTTTTTTCTCACTGATCATGAATTGTAAAATTTAAGAAGCAATCTTTAATCAAATCTTAATGTCCTTTTTTAGCATCATAGAGCATAGAGACAGGCCACTTGGCCTCCATGTCTATGCCAAACAGCAAACACCAAACTATGTCAGTTCCATTTTGTCTGCATTTGGTCTGTAGCCTACTATGCTGTGACATTTTAAGTGCCTGTTCAGGTGCTTTATAAGTGTTGTAGAATACCTGCCTCCTCCACCCTCTCAGGCAGCACATTCTGTATTTCGGCAACCCTCTGGGTGAAAAACCTTTTCCTCAGATCCCCTCTTAATCACTTACTCCTCATCTTAAATGTATGCCCTCTGATCTTAGACACATCTGCCTTCCTATGGTAAGGAAACAAACCCAGCCTATCCAGTCTCTCCTCATAACATCTCCGGTAACTTTTTTTAAAATTCATTCACGGGAAGAGGGCATTTATTGCCCACCCCAGAGGGCAGTTCAGAGTCAACCACGTTGTTGTGGTTCTGGAGTCACATGTAGGCCAGACCAGGTAAGGATGGCAGTTTCCTTCTGTAAAGGACATTAGTGAACTAGATGGGTTTTTCCTGACGATCAGCCATGGTTTCAGGGTATCACTAGACTCTTAATTCCAGATCTTTGCTGAATTCAGATTTCGCTATCTCCTTTGGCAGGATTCAAACCTAGATCCCCAGAACATTACCTGGATCTCTGGATTAACAGTCCAGTGGTAATACCCCTAGGACGTCATCTGGTGAATCACTTCTGCACCCTCTCCAGTGCAATTGCAACCTTCTGATAGTGTGGCCCTGAGACCATCTTCCCCACTATCGCCAACACCACCAATTTTTGTGTCCTCAGAATTCTTTCCAATAATCAGTCTGACATCAGACTAACCGACCTGTAATTACCTAGTTTATCCCTGCTGCCCTTGAACACAGGAGCCACATTAGCCATCCCCTAGTTATCTGGCACTTCGCCTGTGGCCAACGAAGTATTAAATATTTCCACCAGGGCCCCAGCAATCTCCTCTCATGGCAGCCTGGGATACATCTCAAGTTCTGGGGATTTACGCATCCTTGCCTGTTTCTTGGCCATTTATTGTTTTGACATAGAAAAATGTGTTCATTTAATCAGTGTATCATGATTGGCAGTTACTGGCAGATGTTATGAAACTGAAACATGCTTATGAGCTTTTTGAGCTTTTTGTCCTAATTGAGATTGGTCAGAAATGACAAATTTCAATACTGGCTAGGAGTGTAGTGGAAAGTTGGTGGTGAGCTGAAATTTTAATCTGTGGTCTGCTAAATATCTACCTTTTTATTGCCAAGTTCAGATTTATATCTGATTCTAGTGTTTATCTTTACTTTTCTGAATTGGTTCAAAATTCTGCTTTAAATATGTAAAATATGTAATAAAATATATATAAAATATGTAATAGAATTTTCCTTGTACACTCATGGAAGTGTTGTTTTTTGTTTATTAATTTATTTTTATATAATTTTACTCAGTTGACTCTGTTCAATTTAAATTTGTGTAGTTCATCCAG